GTGTGTGTGTGTGTGTGTGTGTGTGTGTGTGTGTGTGTGTGTGTGTGATATGTATGTACATGTGTGGGTTTTAACAAAGAGAATCTACTCCCATTTGATGATTGGCTTTTTAAAATTGTGATCACAGTGGATACTTATTCTTTTCTGGTTTGAAGATAATTTTCCTGGGCGGTTTGCAATAGCAAAAGAGTATTTGTTAAAATTAGAAACTGAGTTTGACTCGTATACAAGCCATTATCTTGCTGATTTGGGGAACTCAGTGACTAAGTATTGATTTGTAGTTCTGAGGTAATTTAACGAAAAAAAAAAAAGAATGAAATGAAGATATGTTAAAGATATGATTTTAAATTTTCTCCTTTTGGCTCTAATCAGCTATCAACTGCCAATACCATATTTGTAGTTTTCTGAATGTGCATTGATTTATTTACTTATGGTACTGAAGACTGAAGCTAGAGCCTAGCACATGCTAGGTAAAAGCTTTAGCACTGGGCCTTCTCCATCCCTAACCTTTCTCAACGTTTCACTAAATTTCCTAAGCTGATCCTGAACTTACTATGCTCCAGGTAGCACCTGCATTTGCAATTCTCCCATCTCAGCTCCTCTAGTAGCTAGGATTATATGCCTATGTCCCCAGACCAGGCTTCAGAGTTCACTTTAATACTATAGTCTCATAGGTCAATAGTTTTCCATTATATATGCCTATTCAAAGCTCTATGGAAGCTTTGAAAAATAAAAACCCTGGGTGTCAGTATCTCAATACCCTAAGCAGTTACCAGGAGCAACTAAGTGTGACAACTTTTATGTTGGGTGCTGCTAAATAACTAAAATAAGTGCATTCATATTATTCACTATTGATGAAAGGATGACATTCATCCTGTTTCCTGCTGCATCCCTAAGAGGCAGTAAGTATCTGACCGGTATATGCTGTACATAGAGTAAGCATGTTCACAGCAAGTTAATTAATATTTTAACAAAATCTGGCTCACCAGTCACTGAAACAGGATGGACCTAATCTATCCTTTGCTCGAGTCCTTCTCATTTGACCCCACTCACTAGGTAAGAGCTAAACTTCCTTCTTTTGTTTGTCTGTGGAAAGGTCAGAGCAAAGTCAGTGACAATCCTGTTGGTTAATACCAAGCATCCTTCCTTGGGATGAAAAGCTGTAACTATGTGTCGTCAAGGCAAGGGGTCCTTATACTTCCAGAGACAAGTCTCCTATGAAGCACCATGCCTCCGGTAAAAAGAAATCAAGACTCCATCTTGCTAAGGATCCAGATGAGCCATTTTATTCTGCAGGGATTCTGGGAGCAGAATCCCAGAATCCACTACACTGTGGATGGTGGTTGCAGACTTCCTCAGTCACACTTTTATGCTAGTACCCTAGATCTCTCTACATATAATGATTTACCTTCCCTTGTATGTAGTCCAGTATTTATCAATCAAGGGATAAATAAGAATATAGTCATACGAGTCATGTTTTTATGCCTATAGTCCAGTTAAAAAAAAAAACAACAACCTAGTTTTAAAAGTATAATGGATAGAGGGTGAAATAACCAACAAAACAGAATTCTTGTCCTCTAGATCTGGACAGGAAATTGGTATCAATGGGAAGTGTGTAGCCATGCTGTTACTGGGGGTTGGGGTGGCACTCTGGACACATGTGGCCATTCAGTTCTTGAGATGTAGTCAATACAGATGAGAAATTGAAATTCATTTAATATTAACTCACCTAAGTCGAAAGAACTGCCTATGCTGGATGACTAACATGCTGAACAACAGAGCTTTTGGATGTCTTACAGGGAGAGGAGACTGGTGAAGAAGCCATCATGACTCAGTGGTAAGTCTAACAAGATGCTATGAGGGCACCTTGGTGAGGAAGCCAACATACTGATGGTGATGTTTGGAAGGACGTCTTCTGGGAGGAAATGGCTGCTATGAAGAGACATGAAAGACAGGTGATAGAATTTGGAAAGGCCAGTAGACAAAAGGTTACACATGTGAGAATGTGAAGGGGGTAGATGGCTAGAAAATGCTCATAAGGGAAAGTTAGATGAAGATTTGATGTTCCAGACAGCACTCTTGAAGAAAGAAGCCAGAGCAAAAGTTCTCTTGGTACCATGATAGCTCAAGGCCAATAGTAATTATAAAGAGTTTTAACCCCTGGAGAGAGATGTTTTTGGTGTAGATAATTCTCTGGATTCCACTTGGTACTCTAAAGGGAAATCCTGATAGGATGAGAAAGTATTCCAGAAGGGAGAAGATATTTTCATAGCTTACTAGCACAGAAAATGGGAAGCATATTTATCTGACTAGAAGAAAGAGGGGAGGGGATAAATGAAGGCCATTGGATTCCCAGGTGCATCAGGTGAAAAACAAAGACTGAGCCAGGATTCATTAGATATCTGGTCCTTATGGTTCACAAAATAGTTTCAGAGTATATATATACAAGCGAAAGCAAGCTCTGTCTGAGAGCTGTCGTTTCCAGTAAATAAACACAAGTTCACAGTTAATGCAACATTTCTTTTATTGGGAGTCAGGGACCAAGGAGAGTCTTGGAAAATGTCAACAAAGTCACACTTTGTGCTTGGGCTACTTTTTAACAACAAACCTGTTTATTTATGAACTCAGTGAAAACAGTATAAGGCAGAGCCATGAAGCATTTTGAAAGAAAAAAAAAAGCAAACAAACAAACAAAAACAAGACAGCCAGAGCCATGACCAGGACTACATATGACAATGTCAAACAGCTAAGCAGAAAGTTACATCAGTTAAATATTCAGGTATCTTAAAAAGATAGACATCTGTCCCTTAGCAGACAACTTGACTGTCTCCTTCAAGACAAAAATCATAATTTGGACATCTATGTTATCTAGATGATCACTTTACCAATCACTGCTAAATAGCATTCAAATGCAAAGTGGCTGGAAGTAAGAATGGGAATTTCAGTTCTAAGTTTTTATGGACAAAGTATTCTTGAATTAGTCACATGGATAAATGAAGATCACAACACAAAGTGACTAGTAGTATTTGTTAATACTTAAGTACTTCTGAAACAGTCATGGATAAACATTGATAGCATTTGCAGATGTTTGCCATTGGTTGAATTAGTTAAAAAGCTGTACAATAGAAGACTAGATCCATGCAGGTGAGCTAATGACTTCATGATTGGAGATATCATTTAAGTTATAGAATACATACAACATTGGCTCTTCTGTGTTTTGGGGGGGGGGGGCAGAGCATTGACAATTTCTTGACCTAAATACACTAGTTATAGCTGTATTTAACATTGACGTGAAATGCCAAAGAGGGAAGGAATGGAGAAAAGTACTAGATTCAGTCTATGCAGCATTACTTCTTTTAATCAAATACAGGTTTATTTTACTTTAGGACAGGGTAGAGCAATTTAAAAGCCGTTGAAAGATAACTGAGGGCTTAGTTTCTGGTCCTTGTTGGAACACTTCCAAATATGTGATGGTTTGTTTGTTTGTTTGTTTGTTTGGTTGGTTGGTTGGTTGGTTGGTTGGTTGTTCGGTTGGGGTAGTTGGTTGTTGCTTTGTTTGTTTTGTAAGTCACTCTGAATATACGCTGTAGATTTACATTTTCTGTCAAAAAATGTTGTAACAGGTAACTTAAGGCCCTTCCCTTACTGCTCTTAAAACTTTGAGATTTCGGGAAGAACTAAATCAGAAGTCTTGTGTCAGACCCAAATCAAAAGAAAATGTGTAAACTGTTGGCCGGTTCTGCTTCAACAAATTCTCAATTTTCTCCCAGGAAAATACATTTAATCATTCTGGTCCTATTCAGCTGTGAAAGTGGGAAAGACTGAGGTAATAGGAAAGCAGAAGAGCTGTTTGTTCCCACAGACAGGTTTTAGGGTTGTGAGGAAGGTAACAACAGTGTTGGAACCGGCCACAAAATGGGGCTTCAACTCATGAGTTTTGTGACCATAACCTTGAATATGCATCGCTGCACATAGCACTTCTGCCAGGCACTTAACCTAATCAAAATGGGTTTTATCCTGTGTAGTTTTCATAGTTGTCATGAGATGTCATATGCAAAACACTTCCTATATGGGATAAACTTGGTAACTAGCAAGCATGAACAGAAGAGTCACCAGTTCTACACAGGTACCACCGGTGACAGGGAACTGGAACTTTAGCTGAGTTTAGGTGACGTCTGCAGTGGGAGAGGGAACATATGTGTGTGCACCATCTCTACTAGACACACAGAGAGGGGTGCAGAGTATGAGGTGACATCAAGTTGAGATGAGTGTTTGTAATCTCCAAAACTCACTGAGTGGATTTCCCCTGCCATGCTTACCATTGTGCTCACCTCAAGGACTCTTTTCTTCTACCTTCCCATTTAGCTATTTGTTTGGTTTCTTTGTTGTTGTTGTTTTATTTCTTTGTTTGTTTGTTTAGAACCTTCAAGGTTTATTTCTTATTTTCTCTTAAGGAGACCGTTCTTCCTTAAGCAAACCAATTTGGCCTCCTCCAAGCACATTGTCTTTTGTGTTGTTTCTGTTCTTGTTGTCTACTGACTCAGTTTATCACTACATTTTACATAGCTCATGCACCTTTGCCTACCTTGAGTTCCACCCCCAGCAGCAGCTGCTGTATGTCATATATGTCATAGAGTCAAGCTTGCTGCACAGAGTCTGGGGGCATGACGTGGTGTTTCTGTGTGGTGCTCTGAATGGGTCTCTGAACATTGCCTGTGACTGCTTTGCTGTCTTTCCCAAGTGTTTTCACTTTCTAGATCACTCTCAGGAGCAATCACTATGTGTTGGGGAAAGTCGCTCCCCCAGACAATCCGCTGTCCTCATGCATTAATGCATTTGGTCACCAACAAGCATACCCATACTGAGATCAGAAAGGACGGCAGGTGAATCCGAACACACACAGAGGAGTACACACAAGGAAGGGGAAGTTTGTTACGCATGAGTGTTGTGGGTTTTCTCTGCTTCTTGCAAAGACTACTATTGGCTGCAACTGCCCCCTGTGGGTGGCTGCTGGGCAGGAAGGGTCTCCTCAGGTGGCCACTTGTTTTGTTTCAACTTCACAGTTGGCAAGAGCGTCCATCAGGCTAGCAGTCTCTGCAGGCTCTGTCTTTTCATTGGGGAGACATTCCTGAGGAAGGGGGCTATAGGACCAGCTGAAAGGAACATCAGTACAACTAAAAAAGATAATAGAACAGGTCACAGACAGTTATCACATTGACTGTTTAATGGAAGTGAATTTGTGACACCTTAGAGACAGCTAAGGCAGAAATGCTACATCACTTGGATAACAAAGAGTGGCTTTCTTTCATTGTTCCCCTTGCTCAAGAATCAATGAAGCAGTGGTCTTGCCCCAGTGTGTGCATACCAGAGAGCCCTACTGAGAGGAGTGCTTCCGGTCTACTCTCACTGAAACAGGTCAGACAAGCAGAGAGCAAAAACCACAGGACACAGAGAACAGTCAAGTTAAGTCCTAGGAATGAAAGCAAACTAGGTTAGCTGTGGGTGCCTAACTGCTTGGAATTGCAGGAGAGAATGAAGACACTGGACCATTGAGTGTTAATCACTGATCCCTTGAATTTGTCTTGGTAGTTCCAGTATCTGGCATAGAGCTTGGCGCATGATACTGAAAGAGAAAGAACAAGAAAAAAAGGGAAGAAAGGGGGAGTGGAGAAGGGAGGAAGAGGAGGAAGTAGTTAGAAAGAGAAAGGAGAAGAAATATGAAGGAGGGAGAGGAAGGGAAGAGAAGAAGGAGAGTGGGAGAAAGGGAGCAAGAGAGAAAAGAATGAAGAAGGGCAGGAGTTACTGTAACTTGGGGCACACAGGAAGAAAACTAGTCAGATTAAGCATATCAAAGGTGTGTGGACTGGGGAGTCTGGCTTCATAAAATAAGGAATTTTGCATCCTAAGTGATTTGAGAAAACAAAATGGGGTCATTTCCAGGTGGCTTTGAACATGTCAGTGTCTCATTTGGGAAGTGTGTTGTCATTGTCAAGTGGCAGAAACATTTCCACAATTAAAATGAACCAAGAGGAACAAGAAACACAAGACTTAAAGGCATCCATCCAACGGAGAAAACAAACCAGAAATGACTAGAAGGATAGAAGGAGGGATAAGGGAGAGGATATGGCCTAAAACAATAAGGCAGGGGTCTGCCTGGATATCTTCCAAATCAAGGTTGAGGGATATGGGTTTACAATTGAGATCAAGAATTTGTTTCTTCCACTGCGAAGCTTTATTTCAATTTTAATTTTATTTTATTTTGTCCTAGGCTGTTGCATTTTTCTGTCACTATCTCTTCCTGAAACAGAACTCCAATCTGTACTGCTTTCTCAACAAGGTAAAACAGATTAGTAAATATTGAGCGTGGAGGTGGAATCAGATGTAATTTTGAAGGGCAATTGATGGTACAAATGGACTCTGGGTTCATGGGTTCTGGCCTTGTTCCAGCTGCCCCCGTAGTGTAAAATAGCTTCAACAATTCTGAGCGCTGTAAGAACTGAGACCCTACCTAGCCTGACCCACTCACTTCACAGATAAGGATATTTGAGAAGAGGGGTATTAACGTTTCTCTCTTACTCTGAAGGGACTGTTATGAATGAGATGGATTTTGTAGCTGGTTTTAATTTAACTAAAGCCTTTGACATCAGCTTCTCCATTATACTCACACAATGAAAATGCACCAATGAGCTAGACACACTGAACGAGATACACCACCACATATACTATAATAAATACTTTGATACACTGAGGCTACCGATTCTCTAGAGACATCCAACTGGTTGGAATACTTAGGGTGAATTTTGTGATGGGACAATGTATTTTGGAAACAATGATATTGAGGATGGGGTGCTAAGCTTTGGCGTACATGTAATACTCCTTTGTGAATAAATTAGTATGCTATTGTGTTATGAAAGGACAGTGCATATAATACCTTTATGATTCATATTGATAGCGAATAATGGAAAATCCAATAATATGTGAGAAGATTTAAAAAAAAAAAACAAGCTATACACTACTTTGTTGTTATATAAATCCATCCCTTGGAAAAAATAGCTTCTATATACTATAAACACTATTAAAAAGAATTTTGAGGCATGAATAAGCAGTAGATAGTAGGAGAATAGACAGGTTTCACATGTTTGTCATGAGTGGATAACTTTACAGATCAGCTTTGGTTTTTTGGTTCTATACCTACTTAATTGCATTGAATGGTGGAGTAGCATCTTCTACTCAACAAAAGGGTCTCTTAAGATCCTTTTTGTAATTTGAATGAAGAAGCAAAAAAGGAGACCCTCACATAGCCTTACTCAGTAATAATTTTCCAAGTTTGTCTTGACAGTCTCATCACTCACTGCATACATGGTAAATGGCAAGTAACAGGCTGACCAGCCACCTCACTATGTTCTGCCTGGGTTTTTTTTTTTTTTTTCTTAATAGGTAGATCTTCAGGGGGCAGATCGAGGGGGCTTCCCAGTGGAGCTATCAGTAGATCTCTGGAATCATGTTGAGGCCCCAAAAGGGAACTGAAGTTAGTGCATAAGAGTTTCAGTTACTCATCACATGACATGCAAAATGGAGGGAAAAAACAGAAAAGGAATTGTTTGTTATTGTTAATGGTTTGATTACTTTTATCAGATTAAAAACTACCAATCTCTGGCTAGTGCCTGTTTCTCTAATTCTAACAAAGGAAATGGATTCCTTATGAGTAATATTTATTATTCTCCTGTTCTCCATGCTCCAAAGTTATCCATAGTCAGGATGAAGACCAAATCCACAAAGAATTGAAAATATTCTGCAAAGAATTCAAGTTTCTTCAGTGACAACCCTTCGAGAGATCATTAGTTTTCCACATCTAGGTTTTCTACTTTCATTCTCGCAGAAGCACACAGGCTGTAAAGTCCTTTTATTCTTGTATTAATTAACACAGAATTTAAAAAAAAAAATAAGCTGGCTTGAAAAGCATTCTACTCAGGAGCAATTTCAAGTGATGAGACATTCCCAAGGGTGGGGGTGGGAGACAAACTCAAGTAGGCTACACGTAAAGCAACGTGCAGCTCTACGCACATTAGTATAATTACAGATTGCAAATTATATCGGATGTATCTAATATCTAATTTTTTGAAAGCTGATTCCACTTGAGACTTCAATAACAGCGTCAACATTTTGCAGGTGGCTTCTCTGTACAGTATCCAATGGGAATTAACTCTTCTAATGTGCTTATAGCCCTCAAGTTAAAACTGGAGCTCCCTCATAGAGGACCAATGAACAATGAACACCGAGAATAACACCATTGACAAAGGAAATGGGGAGGGGCTATTACACTGGATAGCACTGACTGTAGTTACTTATTCCATCACTGTGCGCATGATACTTACTTGCTTCAAGCAATAAGGGACTTCAACATACGTCATTAGAAAATGTGGGAGAGGCTACGTACACATTGAGGAAGCCAACTGAAAAGCTAAGGGCTTGGGCGTTTCTTAGATCTATGGAACAGAGAAAATGTGCATCAGAGTCACGTGTTACATCTCTGACTGCAAACATAAAGCCTTACGTTAAATCCAGCTCGTCTGAAACATACAGTTTGTGTGTCCAAAGAAGATCCAAGCTCTGCTTTGAGGAACTGGCTTTGGTCCTCAAGCCCTGCATGAATCAATCACCAAACAACGAAAATATATTTGAGGTCTTAGAGAATGAAGCATATATATCCTTCAAGTTGATTGGGATCTATTTTCTGGATTCCTCCTTAAATATCTTCCTGGTCATTAGTCGAGTTGCTGTTGAATTATTTCATTATCTGCACGTTTGTGCGATGAAATATGTTGTCATAGCACAGACTTCACAGTGCAATGACTGCTCACATCTCACGATGCCTCTATAGTTAGTACTTTCCTTTGTTCTGTTCAGAAGTGGTTTTAGAAAAAGGGGGTGGGCCTGGAAGGAGGAGCCTTGGGGTTTGTAAAATAAAATCATACATTCCTGGTGCATGTGCAGAATTTGATGCATTTACATGAATTCCGTTTTAGAAATTAAGCTGCAGTTCCACTCGGAATAAGCCAAGGCACATGTCAGTGACTTCAAGTGCAGCCACAAGGCTCTGAGTGTACCTTGAACATCTCTCTAGTGAATACTCAGTGCAATGCAATGGGGAAGGGACAACTTAATTTTTTTTTTTTAAATCAGCAAGGAATGTCTTTAACAAGGAAGAAGTAAATTATGATAATTACTCTGAATGGTCGGATCCTTGAACATTACTAATTAGCATTTATTGCCTGGATTATAGAACAATACGAGTGAAACCAAACTGTGATTGCCCTTTTACCTTGAAGACTTGAAAAGGCAATGGAGAAAGCAGTCTGCGGCCACCTCCCAGACTGCAGTCAGTCCACCTCTCCACTGCCTGCAGACTCCCTCCTTGTGGAAACACACCCATATGGGCCTCAGCATTTCCGGTCCATTCATCTTTTTTTTGTGCTAGATTCATATTTGCACGGGCTATCATAGCTTCAGGAGACTGATGACAGGCGAAACATTTTGGCCATAATACCATCTGAAGAGAGTGTTATCAGTTGAGAGAGCTCAGCAATAATAAAGAGCTGAAACTCCATGCTCCATAAAAATATGGAATTCTCCCAGGGAAATATTTGACTTAAAAATAGAACAAAGAACTCGGCTCTTGGTGAATAAAATTTCACATTCCTTTCCTCACTTGCCCTTAGGACAGAAGTTTAAAACAAAAAGCTAAGAAAAGAAGATGGGTTTCTGGTATAAAGAGATCTATCTACCTACCTACCTACCTACCTACCTACCTACCTACCTACCTACCTATCTATCCATCTATCTACCTATCTATCTATCTATTTTCCATTAGGAATCTGTGATGAGATAGGTTCTGAAATTAGAGAACAAAAATTAGATGTTCATGAATGGGCTGACAGCACTAAATAAATGCCATTCTTATAATTTGGTAACTGAATTTTTTAAATAAGCCAGCAGGTAGGAGAGAATGGGGGGGGGGCTGAGCCATTTATCATTCTACAATCTCTGCTGTCTCCACACCCCATTATAGCGATTTAAGAGAAAAGACTATGGTCAGCCAGAAAACAGGCCTTAAATACAGTCATTGGTCTTCCAAATACCTTTCATGGTTTCCCCTCCCTGGTCCTTTTTAGGTTGAAAGAATAAGTTTGACTAAATCTGTGAGGAGATTAAATAGACTGGTGATAGAAATTAATTCTGCCGAATGAGCAAATGCATTCGAGTTGCCCAGATGCAAATAAGATAGATAATACTTTCCTTTGCCTTTGACATGCTAGGCGGATTAGTTTAGAATGTTAAATCTGATTTTATTAGAATATATTAGCAGTGTTTTAATTAATACCAATCAAACCTTTCTCTTTCCCTGGGGCTTGATATGTTCCTAACACTTTCTAAATCATCTGTCTCCCCACCGCAGGGGGAAAAACACACACACGCACACAAAAAAACTACCAAAACAGCAAAGCCTTTGTTACATTTTTTTAATTTCACTGTATTCAATGGAAAACTATAAACTTTTTGCATAAAGGTGTTTTGCCTCATAAAATTGTCCCAGGTGCCAGATTTTAAAATGAGTACTATTCTCTAGCATGCTTTCTTTTAGAAGGAGGTAGGGGAGGAGGAGGAGAAGAAGAGAAAAAGAAAGGAATTGGAGATTTGAAAATTAAGCATTTTCTATATTTTCTTTTGGGGGGGAATACTGCAAAAGGGGGTTCAGCTGGCTCCTCTTGTCATCAGTGGGCATCTTAAAGCTGTTAAATTTCAACTGCATTGATTTTGAACAGACGAAAAAGAACCTTTTTTTATGAGGTGGTAGTGTTAGTGAAGAAGTGTGTGTGTGTGTGTGTGTGTGTGTGTGTGTGTGTGTGTGTGTGTGTGTGT